ATATTACAGAAGACAACTCACTACGAAAACATCTCGTCATCCCATGTCACAATTCCATCATCTTGCACGGATGGTACTGGGACTGTGGAAAGTTCGGTAGGTCGTGAAGGATATGTGACAAACAGCTAGGATCGATGTAGGAACCTCAAAGCCAACTAGCCCCGCTCTCCCCTGCTGTGTTATATGCCAATCTATACACCTCGCATTCGTTCTCGAAGGGTCGAACTCATCACATGTCCCTGTGTTTTGGTGTGTGATTATAGGGAAAAGTGGAAATCGGACAGATTTTGAGATTACCGGAAGGTAAGAATGTAGAGGTATACGTAGGGTATCATTGGCAAACATCTTATTTTAAGGAATATATCAACGTCACAATACTAATACAATTGTCTTATACTCTCAGGAACAGATCTAGGAAGTATTTCAGAGGTGGGATGCAATTTGTAATCGAACCCCTAGCATAAATATATTTTTTCGCGTATATACCAACTTCGACCACGCGCGCATCCTGCTTCAGCGGGTGCAAGTACCTTTATCTGGGAGGGATCAGCATTTTAGCTGAATCGCGATTTTACCCATCAAGGTTGTTAGCCCTGGGGGTATGGACAATGAGATGATGATGATGATGACGATGGTGAGGGGTGATAGGACGGCACACACATATAGACATACACAAACACACCCATGCCCTAGGCGGGACTCGAATCCGCGGCCTTCTCGTCCGAGACTGCTACGGCACTACTGCCCTAACGATCTCGGCCATTTCACCGGCAAAATATGTTTAACGTAATAAAAAATCATTTTAAAATTTTTAGCTTGAAATAAATGGAGATCCGTAGCATACCGAAACTTTTCCTCGTCTTAGTCATATGAAATGCAGAATTTCAAAAATGTGAAATGATTTGTAGGAACAATGGAAGTTCTATTAAATTTTAAAGATTTTCCAAATGTCCGTAATATCCTATTCATCCATATCCGTGATCTTGAGGGTATCATAAATACTGGCATAGTAAGGCCGAGGGGCAATCGGACTGAATATGCAGGTCAGTGGCATAGCTGAAGATTACCTGGGGTGTGGACGTGTTATAATTTGCCCCTGAACGGTAGGCAACCAATCATGCGCTGAGGTTTGGCAGGTTACGTAGAGAATTGAAGAGATTTCGTACATTCGGCGTACTCGTAAAAACATGAGCAACGTAAATATTTATACACTAAAGATATGAATTTCTAATATAACAATTTATGTTGATGTAATTGTAGTGTTTATAAAAGTACAATAGCACTTTTGCAAAGCGGAAATTTGGAATTAAGATGGGTCAAGCACACCTCTTACAATCGATATCTCAGGTAATACGAAAGCTTAGTGTAATTGTATATAAATTTTACCAAATAAATTTTTACAGATGTATATTTTCTTTCTTCTTATAATTTTGATTTCAAAATTACCTTCAAGTGGAATTGGTGGAATTGCCAAAGATTGAATATCTTCGGACCCTACATATCCATCTCAAAGAGTAGTCCACTTCTGACACAAAACACTATTTACTCTTTTGCCGATTCTTTGCCAATTAAGCAAAGGGTCACCCAATGCTCTATCATTCATGTGTTCTGCCATATATCTTCTATATGTAAAAATGTTGTAAAAACGGAAGAAGAGTTCTCTTTGTATGTTAGGAATTTTCTTTGCAAAAAAGAAACAATACGAATAACGATTTCAGATGTTCTTGTATTGATTTCTTAAAAACACATTATTAGTAAACGAAGGAAAAACTGTTTAAATGCAGTTTTGGATCAGCCTTGATATCAATTTTTCAGTATCAAAGACCCAAAAAATGTGTACTCTGACTATACAACGTATTAGAAGGAATAATTTACTTCATACAACAATAATTATTCACTTTTTTCCAGAATCAGAGACCCACAGAACGACTTTTTCTGTCCAAAAAATTGACACTTTTTGTTGCAGCATTATTAAATTTTCTATTTACTATGTAAATACGAAATAGGTGAGAATGTAAACAGGTGCCTTTTTGTAGAATGCGGCATAAGAAAAATAACTCCTGTTCCTCTGGGGGCATGAAATTTGGTTTTTAGGGCCTTATACATCGTTTCTGTATTAAGTACGATGATAAGTTGTGTTACTATGTTACGTCTGCAGCGGTTTGCTCATGAATTTGTTCTTCCTCTTGTATAATAATTGAAGATGGTGCAACATCCAGAAGAAATACACTTAGGCTTACTGCACTTTGTGGCAATTGTTTCTTATAATCGGTACAAATTGTCATATTTCCTTCACGTATTTTAAATAGAAAGGATGTTAACGCATTTGTTACCAATTGTGTTATAAGAAGTAACAAGTATTGTACTTCAGCTTCTGGATCAATGGATCCCATTTCCATCAGACCTTTCATCCAGTTTCAGTTCATCCATTGCGGATTTTTATATGGCCCCCTGCTTTGTTACTGCTCATAAAAGTAACTTCACTACCTGCACTCGCTTTTTTGAGCTCTTTTTTTTACTTCCTCGTATTCGTAGTGTAGAGAAATTTCCATGAAACTACAAAATAAATAGAGTTAAGATTTAATCTTTTGAAATTTACGAAATTTAAAATAACAGAACTCATTTTTATTAGCAACTGGCTTTATTAAAAAGAAGTGGTGCTGCAACAACACAATTCCTCGCATTATTACTAAATTCGCAATTTTCAAAAGTCCAGAGTTCAACAAAAAGGAGACTTGGTCAGTCTTTTAAGCGTTCCTTGTTTTATCTGTGGATAATACTTGAAGAAAAAATTTGAAGCGGTTTTTGAGAATTCTTTTTTATAATTTGAATTAACTTTAATCAGAAATTGCACAATTGTTCATGGGTTTTTAAAACTATTTTATTTTTAAGAATATATTTTGTATAAGACAAAAATCTCTATTTTGAAGTCTGTAGTTTTGGAATGTTACCTTTTTGACATTTTCGAAAATACAGAGTTCGCCGGTATTGAGACTAGCGCCAATTTTTTACTGTTCTTTGATACATATGACCATAAAATACATATGACTATCAAATAAAAAATGGAGTATTTTTTAAAAAATAATTATTTATTGTGAGAAAATTTGAAGTTTTGCCATTTAAAAAAACAACAACAGGGATTTCAACGAAAAAGAAATGTGCGCCAGACTACTAAACGACATTTACACTATCCGAGGACAAAATTTAATCAAAATATTAGGAGCAATTTTTGAGAAAATGTTGAATGTATAATTGAAGCTTCATTTAAAGTACCTACCCCCCAAAAAACTAAAATATGTGTTTCAAACTCACATGACCTTGAGATCATTTAAATCGATCGGGGAGTACCAACTTTAGAGAAAATCGACTGAAAGGTTTAGGCACGATTGAACATAGGCTGTATTTTCGAAAATTGCAAACCGGTAATATTCCAAAACAACAAACATGAAGATAGAAATTTCTGTCTTTAACGAAATCTGCTCTAAAATGTCAGCTCTTTAAAAAAACGAAAAACAAAAACAAAAAAAGAGAGTCGTTTTTGTGCAATTTCTACTTGAAGGTAATGCAAATAATAAAATAATCTCAAAAATAGCTCGAAATTTTCTCTTTAGTTCTTTTTCACGTATAGAACAAAGAGCGCTTAAGAGAACGGGGCCAATCTCTTTTTCGTTGAACTCCCTGAATTTTCGAAAATTTCAACTTTAGAAATACCAATGCAAGAAAGCATGTGTTGTTGCACTATTAGTTTATTTAAATACAACATAGTTTAGTAGTAAATGAATACAAAAAGGAGAATAAAATTAAAATTTCAATGCTATAATTATAAATACAATTGATTTTATGATTCGGTTGCCATATGGTTAAGAGTCTCTTACCCAAATGTCGAATAATTTCCCAAATTTAAAAAAATGGAAGAAATGAGGCATTAAAGGAAATAAACCATTTTAGAACATACAACTTCTGGACCCCTTTCAGAATTGTAAAGAGGAGCCGCGGTTTCCCTGTGGTAGACATGCGCCTGCGGTCTTATTCTCACCCTGCGCAGCCGCACAAGTACGCCTTGGACCTAAATCCGGATACTTTGGAACGCGATATAAATATCTATTCAAAACCTGGGTGTGGTTCGCTTCGCTGCACCAGCTCGAAGCCTCCCAGCCGTCCAGGAACCGCGCCACTCACGTGCGCCGGGGCGAGTCCTTGCTCAATTCCCGCGCTGTAGAGACGAATTCTGAGCCCAACGGAGGTCACGAGGTCTTGGAGACCCCTGAATTCTCACTGCAAACACTTAACTTTACTTCACATATTCGGCAGGTGGCGATCGCTCGCTCGACGAATCCCGAGTGGTGTGGATGGGCTACTTGCTTATTTGACGAGCGTCAAACATTCGGTGCTCGTCCTAGCCGCGTCGGGTCAGCATGCAATTGCTGGCTACTCGCCCAACGCCGAAAGTGTAGAGCCGCGTAAATGTTAACGCTGTGACACCGAAACACTGGGCATCCTGTCGCTTCTTGTGCCTTTGCCTGAGTTCAATGTAGATACTTTGACGTTCTACCTTGAGAAATAAAACAAAACCCTTTTTCTGTTTCAGTGACCCCCCAAACATGTATTTCATTCAGAAATTCTACATCAAATTTTCCAATGTATTATATTACATTCTTTCTGTACTTTGTAAACGAGAAATTAAAAACGACTTTTGCGTTTTGAGATGAACTATCAAAAATTGCGTAACCGATTTCACGTATGTTAATTTCGTCTTTGTGAAGATAATATTGTTCCTCCTTCCGTCACGCACTCGCTCTTCCGAAAGAAAATTCTGTTTAGATATTGGTGAAAAGAATATAATTTATATGGAAAAAATAATTTAATTTGTTGATAAGGATTATATTGACTGAGAAAATGTAAATTTTGATTGAATTTAATGTGATATTTTTTTTTCAACTTTCAACCAAAAAAAATTGTTTGATTGACGTAAAAATTCAACACACATTTCTTCAACTTACTTATTTCCGCTCTGTCACTTGAATTTTGAAGAGGGCGTCTCAAAACACGAGGTGAAATCTGCTCCAACACAAAACAACCACACACTCGCGGTCTCGTATTTTACTGGCGAGAGTTAACGTGGCATTGAGGGTCTACCCGTCCACGTGACAAAGACGAGGACTGCACCGGAGTGCACGCTTGATCTCGTAGTGCTGACAAGCTGTGGCATTTTGCTGTACTCTGCATATTATCTCCGCAGTTTCTATCACGACCATTTAAATGGACATTTGGTAAAATACTTAAAAGAAATGAATTGAAACCTTAAGGCTGGAGATATACTCAATATCTGAATTAGATATTTTTACAAATCAATTCTCCCACTGTAAATATGCTTGATTGGAGTGTGTATTCAAATTAAACCTAATACAAGCAATGCATGCAATTACTCAAGAATTGCCATGCAGTTACACACACGTGGGTACAGATTGCAGAATGGATGGGAGTAGTAGTGATAGTATGATTTAAATACTAGTTAAAAAGCAATCATGAAAGTATGAAATTTTCATTAAGGGATAAAAATCTTATTTGTGTATTGAATGTAATTTTTATGAGCTGATTTGGGAACTACATAATCAGTGAAAATATTTCTTTTTTTACTAAGCTTTTGATATCTACATTACTTGTTATAGTTTGCAATGACCATATAGGCATATACCATTCAAATATCTTTTCTATCGTTCAGTTTTAACCATTGTTTGTAAACGTGATGTGACATCTAAGTGATCAAATTACATAATTTAGTATTGTAATGTGTTTTTATAATTAAAACAAAAATTAACTGAAGTGTTGATTTTAAAATATCACAAAAATACACAAAGGAGAATTAAATTCTGTCTAAAGGAATTTCTATTAAATTCTCAGATATAGTAAGACAAATTTCAGAGCCTATGATTAACGCAAGACTGGTTATATTATTCTGGTTCTACTTTGTAGTTGCTTATACGGATTACACTAACGGTCATGATACACAAAAATATTCTAGATTTTTAACATTTATAAACTAACATTTCGGGGTGTTTAAACTAGTATTTTTAGTACTAAATTACATATTTAGTTTGAATAAAATTAATTTTGTTTTGAGAAAAAATGTAAAAACCAACTGTAATTTGTTGCAGAACCTTCACTACAAATTGGCTTTGCAAACATTTGTCAAAATTTACTTTAATTTCATTACGTGTAATGTATTCAATTTTTTTATCCCCACACTTTCCATAAATATAAATATAATTGAGCTGCATTACTGGACGGTGTCTGAAATAATGAAGGAAATTTTCAGAAAAGTAACATTTCTCAGATTTAAAATGGTGATGTGGCTGACTTTTATTAACAGTTTTATAAAATTAACCCACACCATTTTTGTTGTAAAAAATACAGTTCTTGTTTATATTTTACAATGTTATACAGGTTATGGTGTTACTTAAATACTTGAAATTGTTTACATTTCTCTGTGGGTGTATACTAATATGAATGCTTCATAATCTGCGAGATTCATAGACTTAACAATGATAAATGCACTCAGACCCGTCTTTGTGACTCTCTTAGCTGACATGACATTTATTTCCTCTCTGTACATTTGTTATGACCAATAAAAAATGATCACCAATAACTGTTGTGAATAATACTGCAGAAGAAAATTATGCTAGACAGTCCGTAAATACAATACTGTGCATTTTATTCATTACAAATATTTACAATAGGAAAATTTTATTCTTTGTCATTTCAGCTAAGATATTTTTTCAACAAGCAAGAATGAACTTTCTGTCTACAAAAAGTATATAAAATACAAAAATAAATATATAACAATTTATCAGCAACCAAAAAATGAATGAACTTCAGAGACATACTTACATTTCTGTGACAGAACTGTGAGTGCAATTGATAAGTATGTCACTTTTTAAGCTCAGCTAACAAGATGAATGATATCGAGATAACATCAAATACTAACTAAGGTACAAGGACATAGCATTATCTTGAAAATCTCAGTTTATATCTCATTTGAGGATTCTTTTCTCTTGGTAGTCTCAAGATATAAAATTGCAGGTAATAAAAAATAGGTAACTTTGTGGAACCAAGTATGAATGTTATGTAACACTATTATTTGCATCATCATATACACAACAATAATAATCAACAGTAACATATCATACATAGGGCCTTGAATGGGAACAATAACAGAAACAGGAAGACTTCCACAATTACTATTTTACAGGAATGGACAGAAAGTTCATGTCACCTACTCATAAGATATAAACATTCTCAGAGTTGGGCCTGTGAACCTCGCCAAGATGGTTGAGCACCCCCAAAGTTCATATGGGCATATCCTGTTGAGTATCCCACACTGCCATAAAGTTCTGACCCTGGTGAGTGGCTGCCCTGTTTTAAAACATTGTCAAATACAATTAGTATTGAAAGATATTATAAAAACACTGATAAAAACACACATATGTGCATGTCAAACACTTACTTGAAGAAAACGATTAAGCTCTTCCTGGGTGTCAAATATCATCACTACAAAAGGTGACCCAGGGACAAGTTCTCCTGCCCATTTGACTTCCACTCTGTAATCACCAGGTTCTGTTGGGTCATATTTGCACAGAATAGTTCGATCCTTTTGACTTTCTCGTTGCATTTCCACTCGGAATGCCCCTGAAATAAAAGATGGTGATCTGTCATTGTGATCAACTGGTACAGAGAGAGAAAATATGATGAATTTTCTTTATTCTTAATTAATGAATAGATATCTGAGAAATAAAAGAAGAAATTTCCGAAAAAACAGATTACCTAACAGAAGAAGAACAAAAATAATTCATGACATCAGACATTCTTCAATTTTGGTGTCAACAAATATTCAGTTTTTATAGGTTGTGATTATTGTTAAAATGTGTGCTACCACAAAAATATTGATTGCTCATAGTTGATAAAGAGAAAATAACAAAATAAAAAGAATTTATAAATTATTTCTTATCAAGAATGGTTTTGTACATTGAGTTCTGTGAAAGTTTCATAAATTTTTCATTCAGTAATGCTTCTGAAATTATGAATGACTCATGAAGCACCTGTTAAAACGATAAGCATCTATAAAATAGGTATTGTCTCCCTGGGAAAGTGATAAGATAAGAATCCTCATTCTGTCAGTGATTATAACAATGTTATTTTAAGATATTGAAACTTGAATGGATACATGAATGAATATGTACCTTGATGCTTATCTAAGAGAATGTCCTATTGAAGAACCTTGCCAAGGACAAAAGAAATAATCAATGTTTTTCCATAATAATAATAATTATTATTATTCTCATCATTAAAACCTGGTCCTTTAAGAGGAACAGAGTTATTTTTGTGCATATAAGAACTATTGAAGTCCTTTGTTATCAAATATAATTTAAAAAACTGGTTGATCACTCATCTTCCTTTAGAAATGAGAGGAAAAGAAAAAATGCAGTGAAATGTGTCTGGAACATTATTGAGATATTGATGCTAGAAACTGAATGGATAAAATCATAGCAGTGATTGGACAGGACTACCAACTTTTAGAATTCTTCTCCAGAGGGAAGATTTGGTTATATTTGAGGCTACCTCAGAATCATCACAATTGCAATTAATCACAAGGTCATTTTAACTATTGTATTCAGATTCTTCTGTCAATGACCTTAGGTCTACCCTGGGAGGAATGAGAAGAATTGACGAGCAAGTGTTGATGATGATGTAGCAGTGGTGGAATGGAGGAGAGGAGAACAGGAGAAATGAGAGAATCTCTAGGAAACCTGCTGTAAACCTGCTTTGTCCAGCACAAATTCCATAGGGATTGGGAAGCACAGTACCAATGGGAAGTGGTCTGAGACTACACCACAAGTGGTTGAGAGCAGATTTATCTGACCTAACTAGTTGGGTGCATCTGAACATTTGTTACAATCGGTATTTGAATTTAAAGCCTTTTAGTCCGTAAATCACTGATGCTTAAAAACATATACTAAAAACATTTTTGAAATTCAGAAAGCTATTTACTAAAAACATATTTGCAATTTAGAAAGTTTGAATTCAGAACACAATTGTAATAAATTGCAGTACTGTAAGAGATTTGGTCTCAGAAAACTATATAAACATTTTTCAAAAATCATAAAAATAATTATCAAGAAATATTTAGACAAAAGTTTCATGTAATTAAATTTTGTAGAAGAGCATTTCGTACCTTTGGGGCCTCGTATTCTCACAGTTAGCTGACCAGCTCCTGCCCCACGTGTATCACAAATGAACCGGCTCTGGAAAGTTGCCAGGACACCATGTTCCACTCCTGGTCCATACACACGCACCTTACTTGGATCTGGAGCTCCTGCCACTCTCAGTGCAAATGGACTTCCTGTTACATGCTCTCCTGCAACATGAAAGGTGTATTTTATGAAGGAACAGAATTAAATGGGAATGAAATTGAAAGGTTAGGTTAGGAAGATGTCTGCCCTCTATCATCCTCCAAAAATAATCTTGGATATGTTCAAGCTTACTACGTAATCACTGAGTGCTTTTGTTCTAACTTTTTTTAAATGCTTGTCATATAATGAATTTTGTCATAAGCACATATAATCTTCTTGTTAATGCACAAAATAACTCACCCCCATATTTGATTGTAAGAGCATGACGGCCTGCTTCTTGTGGTTTGACATTTAAAGTAAAGGTTCCATCTCCATGCTCATAGAGTTCACAATATGCTACTTTGTGAGGACCAACACAGTGTGCAGTTAATTCCCCAGGTCCTGCACGTCGAGTATCAATGAAACTGCGAATCTCTTTACCAACTGTGCCTACTCTGAGTCCATCACCTGAACAGATCACTCGACTTGCATCAGCTACTGCTGTTACAGCCACCTTCAATGGGCATCCTTTCACTTGCCTGCAAACAAAATTAGTTTGAATACATTGAAATTGAATAAATTTTGCCTTATAGTCTCTCAAGTCTGAATATTTAATGTTCAAAATGTTAATTTCTCACCTGTCTGACCACATAACATTTAACAGGTAAGCACCAGGAACAACAGGAGTGTAGGTAGCTCTATAAACATTGCCTCCTAGATGCTGCAGGTTAACTCTGATATCTGCCTTCATTCCAGTCA